TACTAGACTATTTAACAACTCGATCACTTTTCGTAATGTACCGAGAATCCTTATACTTTTATTGCATAACTATTCGATCAGTGAGTAGCGAAGTGTCGTGTTAGTATAGTCCTTTAACGCATTATCGTTACTAGTCCAAGTTAACAGACATCGCGTGTAATATGTTTTGATGCTATGTGTTTGGAGGTATTTAACATCTAGTGTCTACTCAGGCTGGTGATTACATCAAAATTTGATCAGTACAATATTGTCAGTATTTAGGGGGAATCAACGAACGTAATTCTGTAATCAGTGATAAATCTGGAGGATTCACATACAGTACATAACATGGAGGGTCAAATTGTAAGTCAGAGATGATACACAAGCCATATTATCGAATGAAGCAGATCACGTATGCAGTCAAGATACTGGTCTATATATCCTTGTCTGTGTCAAAAATACAGATTTATAGATGTTAACAGTGTGTGTATATTTTATTCGAATACCACTTACAGCTCCTTAGTCACTTCACTCACACAGTAGGCTGGGTAATCGTATAGGAAGCGTGTATATTTGTATATGAAATGAATGACAGCGGTACGCAACAGTAATCCCCAGAGTTCTAGTTAAAAGCAGTGACGAGTGGAGTCTAAATTTGTCGGCAGTGAGACAGTTACTCAATAATGGCATTAAACAATAGCTGTGAAACACCTGAAGTCAGACAGTAAACCATTGGACGACAACGCAGTGGTTTAGAGATTAAATACTTCGTAGTGCAACCTAAAGGTATCAGGTTCAATTTCTGGTGGAGTTGTAAATGTACACATTAAGACAGAACAACTATTCAATGCTTCTTCGATTTAAGTAGTTGTCTAACTAAGATCAGACCGTTGTTGCTACCTTGACGTGGTGGTCGGGCTTGCCTATCGTGATGAAGCAACCGAGCTATACTGGCTGGAACAACCGTTCCTCAAGGTCCTATTATGTCAGACAGGTCGGTTGAAGAGCGGTAAGACTAAAAGCAACAAACCCAAAGTCCGAAGGTGAAGTCGTACTGCTGACTGTACAGAGGTGTGACAGCAGTAAGGTGTTCCCTTCAGACAACCAGCATGACAGCGATGCTGCCTTCCCACAAGGAGGGGTGGGGTTGGAAAAAGTCGACCCTAAAAATCCACACCTCACCTTACCTCACGGATTTCCGTCTCCGGCGGTAAGGCCCTTTGAAGAACGAAGCTAACACGTCAAAAACCTCCCACGAAAAGGCCGTGCGCGACCGGCCTCAAGCAGTTGTCCCTTGGGCACTGCGGTCACGCTCTCAGGTCACTGAGACCGCCTCTAATCTAATTTCCTTTTCAGGTACCTCCAGAAGAACCCTTCCTCGGTGTGGGCGACCGGGAAGTGATAACCGCCCTCATATCTCTAACAGCACTCAAGACCACTGTATTCATAACCAACCTCCCTCTTCAATTCCTATTATTCCTCCTACATCGACTTCAAACTCTAGACTTATTTTTTCGGCTTCCCCTTCAAGTGTCACCATAGCCAACGATTCTAGTGCTCAAAATACTGTCCCAGGTCTACTGAAACCTCGCTCCAAACTACACATTAGAGCCTTCAACGTACGAACCCTATGTCAAATCGGTCAGCAGGCTTCCTTGGCTAAAACCCTGGAGTCTCTTACCATTGATGTATGCTGTGTCTCCGAAACACGCATACAGGATTCCAGTGTGGTCATTCACTTGACCTCACCTCGTCAAAACGGAGAGCCAACGAGATACACCCTCCGTGTATCTGATGACCCGATGGCCAGTTCTCGTGGACTGGCAGGTGTAGGCATAGCACTAAGCATGAGGGCCGAACAAGCACTGCTAGAGTGGATCCCCGTCAACAGCCGTCTATGTGCTGTTCGGCTAAACGGCTCCGTAAGAACTCGGAAGGATAGGGATACACGTCGTTGCCTTTTCGTCGTTTCTGCCTACGCTCCCACTGACTGCAGCTCAGATGATGTGAAAGATGAATTTTACAGAAAGCTTTCTGAACTTCTTCAGAAAGCTAAACGCTCAGACATAGTACTCGTAGGGGGTGACTTTAATGCTCAGATAGGTAGCTTAAACCAAACAGAAAGCCATTTAGGTGGATATTTTAGCATTCCGGCACAGCGAACAGATAATGGTGATCGTCTGCTGCAACTGTGCTCAGACAATCGCTTATTTTTAGCAAACACAAATTTTAAGCATAAGAAGAGACATCGTCTAACATGGCGACCCCCTACACCAAACCAGCGATGGACTCAAATAGACCATATTGCCATCAGTCATCGTTGGAGAGGGTCGGTACAAGATTGTCGCTCATTCTGGAGTACCTGCTTGGACTCCGACCACGCCCTAATACGGGCACGCATCTGCTTGCGCCTCACTGGACGCAAAAAAGCCACATTGAAAAGACCCATTAGAACTGAGTTGAGTAACGAGAAAACCAAAAGTAGGTTCCAGGAACAACTGAGGTCGCAGTTAGGTAGTTCTGAAAACGAGGCTGACCCAGATGTTGCTTGGAAAGACATACAAGCAGCTGTGGAAACAGCAGTGACATCTATTAGCGACTTAAACCACAGAGTTTCAAAGAACCAGTGGATTTCTTCAAAGTCTATCACACTGATGGATTCTCGCAAACTCGTCCCATCAGGTTCCGAACATGATGAAGAGCGACAACAAATCAGATCTAGGTTAAGAAAAAGTCTAAGAAACGACCGTGAGCAATGGTGGGCAACGAAAGCAAAAGAGATGGAAAAGGCGGCGACTATAGGGAACACAAGACAGCTTTACAGACTAATAAAAGAAACTGGAATTAATAAGTCAAGTGTAAGTGAGATTATTTCGGAAAAAGACGATACCCTCATCTGCTCCCAGTCCAGACGTTTAGAACGATGGGCGGAACATTTCAGAGAACAGTTCAGCTGGCCTTCAGCTACTCTACAACTACCCTCCATTCCCAGACAGCGTGAATGGAACATTGAAGTAGGTCCCCCAACTCTTGCTGAAGTTGAGAAGGCTATAGTTAATCTGAAACGAGGAAGGGCAGCTGGTCCAGATGGACTGGCTCCAGAGGTCTTTAAGGATGGTGGTCCAATTTTAGCGATTAGGTTGACTAATATTTTGGCTAAGATCTGGGAGTTAGACGTTATTCCATCTGACTGGTCACAATCACTTATCGTCCCAATATATAAGAAAGGGTCAAAATCATCCTGTGACAACCACAGAGGGATTAGTTTAACTAATATAATATCTAAAATACTAGCCTCGATAATTATCAGGTGCCTAACTAAGACTCGTGAACTGCAAACACGAGAGAACCAAGCTGGCTTCAGACCTGGTCGTGGCTGCATCGACCACATATTCACCATTCGTCAGGTTCTAGAACACAGGCATACTTATCGGCGTCCGACAATGGTGGTATTTCTTGACTTAAAAGCAGCATTTGACTCTGTAGACCGCGAGATTCTGTGGCAGTGTCTGTCATTGAAAGGCGTACCCCAGAAGTACATAAACCTTGTAAAGGCTCTTTACTCGAACACTACTAGTCGAGTCAGGGCTTATGGCGAACTGTCACCTACTTTTGCAACCTCAAGTGGTGTCCGTCAAGGCTGTCTACTTTCTCCATTTCTGTTTAACTTCATCATAGACCTACTGATGGAAATAACATTCTCGTCGACTGAATTTTCGGGCATTGATCTCCTACCAGGAGGTCCACTTATCGACTTAGAATGCGCAGATGACATAGTCCTGTTTGGTGAAGACGCTGATAAAATGCAGAGTCTTCTGGTCGCATTAAGCAACAATGCCAGAATGTTTGGAATGCGCTTCTCTCCCTCTAAATGCAAGTTGTTGCTTCAGGACTGGGCTGCGTCAACACCTGAACTGAGGATAGGGAGTGAAGTAGTCGAACGCGACGACAACTTCACTTATCTTGGAAGTCTGATCAGCCCTAATGGGTTGGTGTCTGACGAAATCTCAGCACGGATTCGAAAAGCTCGTTTGGATTTTGCCAACTTACGTCACCTGTGGCGAAGGCGAGATATCCGTCTATCAATAAAAGGACGAGTATACTGCGCGGCAGTCCGTTCTGTTTTAATTAACGGCAGCGAAACATGGCCATTAAGAGTAGAAGACACTCGTAAGCTACTAGTATTTGACCACAGATGCCTTAGAAATATTCCTGGCGTCTGCTGGGATCACCGGGTAAGTAATAGTGAGGTTAGACGCAGGGTATTAGGAAATGATGGTAAATCAGTTGATGAGGTTATGAATCTTCATCGACTGAGATGGTTGGGCCACGTGTTACGTATGCCTGAATACCGATTACCACGACGTGCAATGCTATCCGGTATTGGAGATGGTTGGAAGGAAGTTAGGGGCGGCAAACCAAAACGTGGCATCAATGCTTGAAGTCACTAACTTCTAGTGTGAGCCATGTTGGTAGATGCAGACTACTTGGTTGGGGTCCGCGTGACTATCGTAACCAATGGTTGGATACTCTTGGTGACATGGCTCAGAATCGATCACAATGGCGTCGGTGTATACACTCCATGTCTTCCCTTAAAGTAAGAGATTAAAATCGCTTCATACCTTTCTTTCTACGAACCAATTTTTTCTTCTTGTACCATACCTCTATATGCAATCTTCCTCTTATATATTACCACCTTTGACATAACCACTGCTATGAATCTGGTGTTCATCTTATTGTGCTGATGCGGTAAGGCAACCTGGACCGATGCACATATGTGCCTGGTCCTACGTTGTAACTGACTGACTGACTGAGTCAGTGATTCAAATCATATAAATACATCGAAAAGCAATAAAGACAATCGTAACAGTTAATATTGGTAACAGTATTGATATTAATAGTGAATACAACAGCAAATAACAATGATAATATACAAATAATCACAGATATTGTTGATAGTGCTAATAATAATAATAATAATAATAATAATAATAATAATAATAATAATAATAATAATAATAATAATAATAATAATAATAATAATAGCCTAAACCTGTACAAATAACACCATGTTACTATGATTCTACGAAGAAAATACACCGGAGTTACAATTGTAATATCACTTTCTTCTTTTTTTTTTTAAAAAAAAATAATGCAATTTACAATAATAATTTGTTACTGTTGACGAAAAGATAAACTACATCCACGTAGATGTTTAGTTAATTCTAATTCAGTAAAAAATAATTCAGAACAATAATTACATTTAATTAAATTAGTTGGATGTTTACGTAAATAATGTGATTTTAATGTACAATTTTGAGCGGATGAATAATTACATTCACGACAACTAAATGGTCTTTCACCTGTATGAGTACGTATATGTACAGTAAGATGACTTTTTTCAACAGTTGTATATTGACAATAAGGACAACTGAATGGTTTTACTTTAGTATGTTGTATCATGATATGTTTACGTAAGTGAACATTTTGACGAAATGATGTACCACAATCACGACAGATATAACGTCTTGGTGGAATTGAATCACAGTAATACTTATTGACATTATTGTTATCATTACTTTTATTATCAATATTAGGACAAGCAATCAAATTTGTATGCATTATTGTTGGCATTTGAAAGATAACATTGGCAGTGGATGTGATCATGTTATCATTATTATTAACATTCGATGTAATTACAGCATTTCCAGATGAAACAGGCATTGATTTCATTGTTACATCTATGTCAACATTTGTTGTCGTTATTGTTGACGATGATGATGATGATGAGGAATTATTCAATATAATTGAAGTATCATTATTGATATCTGTATTTGTATTATTGATATGATCAATTTGTGGTAAATAATTATCATTTATTTTAGAATTACTACTATTTACATTAATATAAGGTTTATTAATTATGTCATTTTTTAAATGTAATTCAATATTTTGATAATATTCATCATTATCATTATTTTGTTGTTGTGGTGATGTTGGAGGTGATGATGATTGTTGTATGATCATGTCTGATAATAATGGTAATTGTGGTGATAATATTGAATTTAATGGACTTGTAATTGTTGTCGGTGTAGCTGCATTTAATAACATTGCTAAATCAGCATAATCAGAATAACTGAATTCTGGATCGAAATCAGTTTGTACTTCAGATGACTGACTGATTATTGATCTTTTCGGTGAACAAGGACAACATGTAATTCGAGCAGTATTGGTAGTTTTTGTTTCTTGAATAATAAAATTATTATTATTATTAATTTCATTTTGCATTGATCGATCACAACATATTGGTAATGTTACCGGTGTTGATGTACAACAGACAAGTTTACGCATACAACAACTAACAATTGCCGTAGATGCAGTACATCTTGATGTATCTTGTGCAACTATTTCATTAGTATTTAATAAATTTGAACATGTTGTCGGTTTACAAATAATTGATCCAGTAGTACAACAATAATCACTGACATATATATCAGAATTCATAGAACTGCCATTACTACTATTATCATTATTGTTACTATTACTATTATTACTGTTATCATTATTATTATTATTGCTATTAAGATTATATGGACATATTCCAGTGGATAAATTATTACAACACGATGAAAGTGTAAGATTACAACTTTTCACGTTTGAACAAGTTTTCATATTGTTAAGTCTATTACAAGTCACTGTTGATTCACCTATGCAACAACTAACATATTTACGTTTTCTATGAGGTATACTGTGTTGTTTAATTCCAGTTAGATAAGTTTGTGTTGATGCATTATGACTGTTACTATTAATACTAATACTACTACTGTTATCGGTATGAGCAGTGTTACTTGTAATAGTAGGTGTATCAGTAGTACTATTTGTATTATTATTATTATTATTATTATTATTATTATTATTATTATTATTAGGACTAATATATTTATTATCATCATTTGTAATAGTAGAAGTAATTGTTGTATCAGAATCGGAATTGTTCACTTTTTCTGAGAGTAATTTATCAATTGTATGCAGTACACCATTTTCACACTGATCATCCTCATCATCATCATCATCGTCATCCTCATCATCATTATCATCAACATCAACATTAAAATCATTGTTATTAACATTAGTTTCATTCAATAATTCTTCAACATTTGATGATAATGTATTTTTTAATTGTTGTTCATATGTTTTAGAAAATTTCCCAATTGTATCAATAAATATTAATTGGTGTTCAACTTGAACATGCATTAAAAATGTCCATGGAGTTGTGAATTTACGAGAGCATTGAACACATTTTAAAAAGGTAGTATTACTATTTTGTGATTCTAATAAAGTATTATTATTATTATTATTATCATTATTATTATTATTATTACTAATATTGTCCATAACATTTGAACATGATAATGTCATCAATGGAGGTGAAGAAGAAAACGACGATGTTGATGATGATGTTAATGATGGTAACAATGAAGGATATTTGTTATTTTCTAAATTTGAAGTAAACGGTGATTTCAAGAAACAACAACTTGCTTTTTTATGCTCAATAAACATATTAATATCAGAGAGGCGAAAAGTAACAAAACATGTTCCACATGATAGAAAGTCAACCGTCATTTTTTTGTGAATTATACCGACTATTACTACTACTACTACTACTACTACTACCAACAGTATAACTTTTCCAATTTCTGTTTAGATGAATTACAGGAAGAAAAATAGATTCAATGTTTGAATTGATCACAATTTGATGGTTCAATGTTAAAGATGTTATGAATATTATTATGTAGAGTAATTGCTGTTCACTTTGAAATATTCAATGAAGCTAAAATTAGAGATGAAACATTTTAATTAAACTGATAATTTAGTAGTTGATACAATAATATATATATATAGTCTATCTCCAAAAAGACAGGACTCTAATCGACTCACAATACGAAACGATTGGAACGATAGGGAGAACACTTCAAAGAACAATCTTACTGACCTTGAGTTACATACTACTTTCAAACAATCGACGTAAACTATCTATTATTTTGAAGAAATTGATAAAGTCATACCTTATTTGAGGCGAGGAAAACCAATGGAACCTGATAAATTAACTTTAAAGATCAGTAACAGGTGATGGTCTAGTTTTATTAATGAAAATGACTAATATATTAGCTAGTATTTGGGAACTGAACGTAATCCCATCTGAACGGTTTCGACTAAGGTCAGACCAGAAATTCGTTTGACTAATAGAGTGCCTAAAATACTAGATTCAGTAATCGTCCGACGCTTAACTAACATTCGTTAATAGCGAACCCAAGAAAACTAGGTTGGTTTCAGATATGGATGTGGATAAAATGCAGTTGTCTGATCGGCTTGAGCAAAACTACAGACATGTTTAAAATGTATTTATTTATTCAAACACATAAACATTGGTACAAGGAGGCACCAAATACATATGCGCCACATAAACCATTCGATGTGTGAGGGCTGGGAGAGACTGTCTGGGTACCTAAACCGAAGCATGAGGGTTTTCTTAAGGGGCCAATCCATGAGCCTTTAACCCAGAAGTCTAATCCACAAGGCAGTGGAGCAACGTCAGGAGATGCTGTCCCATGGTAGCCGGTGACCGACAATAGGTTCGTACTCTATATATTCCCTCAGGATCTTGGAGCCCATGTGCACCATTGGTTCGGAATCAGAGTTTTCCAACATCTCTAGATGGGTCCTTCGTAACCACCGACTCGGTTAAAGCGCCAGACATTCGCTTTCCATCCTCTCAATTTCGTAAATAACACCCTCGCCGCGAGAAGGCAGTAAGTAGGACTTCCCTAACAGTGGTTGTATGCACGTGGCCATATGAGAGTATTTGGAGAGGGAGAGCTGACTCTCCCTACCCTCAGCTGTGCCAGGGCATTTGTTTCCTTACTTGACTGCTTTGTTTTAATAGAGTGAATTCTCATTTTAATCAAAACTGACAATATTTTGTGAGCGGACTCTCCCACTCCCTCAGTCGTAACAGGGCACTTGTGGACAGTTAATGTTGTGACTTGATCTAACGAACTCGATCAACATGATATTGGCCACTATAGCAATAAATGACCAACTACCAATTAAACAGAAAAAATAGTGTAAACTATAAACATGTAATTACTTAACAACATATACCATCCAAGTATATGCTAATAGTTTGTCATATTTCCCGTTCATGATTTCATATGGTTTACCATTAATCTTATAAATTTAAGACCCAGATATTGTTTTTTTGTACTAGGTATAGAACATTTGTGAATCATTCGATTTGACCATTATTTTATGAGTAAATAAGAGTCAATAAACTCAAACTTGTTCGTCACTACTATCCTTACTTGACTCACTAACCTTTTTTTAAAAATAAGTATTTTTCACATAATTCTTGACGCAGTGTCTGAAGTTATATATGAATGAAGCAGAAACGTATATATTGCAAATTTTAGGTTAAATTCGACAACACTAAAATGACCTTTGGTAGTAACGATCATTATTCTGTCATTTCACTACTAATAGTACAAAATATTATATTTTGCATTGTAAATGGCTTATTTTGAAATTAGTAATATAACTACATGAAGAGATTACATAGACTGTACTATAAACATCACACTGATAAGAGGACGTTTAAAACAAAAATGGGCTTAAAAAAATTTTTCTCGTTTACTTTCATTACAACGAATACAATTAAATATTCATATATTACAATGTAATCTGTCTTTGTTAGTTAAATCTCTATATATGATCAAAGTTATCAGAGAAAATATGAAAATCGATTGTGGATAAGTTTCGAATGTGCAGCGGAAGAGGAGATACCTGAATTTTTATTTTATTCAGTCAGTTATTAGGTACATAGTTGTACACTTGGCTTTCAAGCCCAGTCTAAGTATGAGAAATAATGATAGCAATCTAGCTATCTAAGCTGAAGTAGGGGAATAGGCTTTGAAAACTAATCTATACCAAACAAATGAGTCGATAAAAGAAATACAATTTGTGCGAGCCATAATTTTACTACCTGGTTACCAAAACTGGATGATGTGGAATGGAGTTCGAACCTGTGACCTGCTGTTAGCTAAAAGCTTTTTAATCACTAACCTACCGGTCAAGAAACAAGTATAGCATTATGTAGGGTCTGAAATCACAAACTGGACATAACCGCAGTCAAATGTTTTCAGTAATCCGTAACCATTATGAGTGGAGATTTTTCGCCACTTACATTGTAGGTCAATGCAAATAATAAAGGTCACACTTTCCAAATATTGTGAATATAATTAACCACTAAGATACGTCCACTAGTTAAAATAAATCCATTGACACTTAGTAGTCATATGTAGGAAATTTGCTGATGGCATTTCTTTTTAACCGTATTATAACTTTCGATTAACATAACCGCTTAGCGTAAACGTCTACGAGCAAATATCACACTAAATACCCGTTTGATCGTTTATAATTTCAGTTGCTGAGATTTTCTACAAATATAATCTCTCGTTTGAAAATATCTTCCATACATTCAAAACCCAAATACTCTGAATAATCCCACTGACATTCTTAACGAGATTTGATCAGTCTTTGTTGATATATAAGCATCCTGTGCGGATTACCTCGATTTCATTTAATTTCAGACTCTTTGTTTACTTATTTCATGGATGCAGTTATCTATTTCTTTGATTTTTGCGGGGGAAACTTGTTGAAATATTGTGTGCTGAGAATTTCACACTGCACTAAACACATAATATTGAGTAAAGCTATTAACAATAATAATAATAATGGGTAGTTTTGCTAAAGTTAAATAGAACGAATAGACTTTGACTGGCAGTGGATTCCAGGACGTGGTTTCGTCCCATACGGGACTCGTCAGTAGCTTGATGGACAACGCATAGAGCATTTGAGGCGAAGAGTACCACGTTCGAATCCTAGCGTAAAAATCAGCACTGAGGTGCAAGCATACTCAGCTAACGGGACACAAATAGGATAAAACGCACATCATATATTTCACTACTAGCTACAAACCACCTATTCTACATAACTCGTAACAAAAATGGCTGTATTAAGGTAAATAATAATTTTTTTTTCTTAAAATGGTTTACAATTTGTCAGTATTTAGACTTCGTAAACAACTCCATCCTACAAAATATGTAAACTGACAGCATAAAATATTTATTTCACAAAATCTAGGGAATATACGAATCATATATTCTTCAAAATGCTTCATATTCTTATCAATACAACTATTCCACTTCAGTCTCGAATGTCCATAACATTTCTGGATGCCCTCAGGTACATAAGGCTTTCACAATGCGTCACTTTGTTAGAACCATGTGCATATATGACTTCCCCAATCTAGTTCATTAAAAATCATCTGGAAAGTAAAGTGACGATCAGAAAACATAATGGGTCTCACACGTTTCATGACTTCATCAATACAGGAGGTTGATAGTTACCATGGTCTTGTATCCACTCTTTGTGTTCTCCCAAATTCTAATCTTTTGAATTATTTGTGTTCCTTTTTTCTCTTTCCAAATTTATTTCACTGGATTACACTTCTTGAATAGCATCTTCAAACCCTAATGTTTCCAATTACTGCTTATACTTTTACTACCTCTACCACTACGGGATTTGAGTCGACAATTGTATCTCAGTGCTAGTGTAGTATGGCGAATTGAACTGATGTACGTACGTACGAAGTCCTACGTTGTTGCTGACTCACGGACTGACCGATGGTCTTGTATCAGCCTACCAGTTTTCATGACATTCATCTGAAAGGCACGATATACATGAAAAGAGCCATTTTCTTTAATATTTTAGGTTTATAAACATCCTTCAATAATTCATGAATTTCGTGAAAGATTTTCCAGTTTTTATAAAATTAATAGTTCAGTTTGCGTTGGACAGAAAATCTGCATATTTAACTATGATTTGCACTATGAGCTATGACTTTATGTCGAGTACAACTACTGATTTTCTGGAAGTGTAAGTTTTATGTACAAGATCTCTGGATGGTCTCATCCTAGACAAAAACAGCTGTTCAACATTTCCTGGTTTTCAATGGATGTCCAGATGAAGCCAATGTCTGTGATGTTAATAATTTCTAAACTGTACAACCACTATAATCCTTTCATTCTGATAAATCATTAGCTTACTGATGATTGAATTCAGAAAATTCCAAAACTCTAATAAAAATATAAGAACGATGGAGTTTGATAAGGCCAGGATTAACATACAGATATCACCTATCACAATAAACAGTGATAGCGTAATACCACGACTTTACTGAGATTGTAGATGTGGATTACAAAACGGTATTCCAGTAGTCATGAATGTGAACTATTGAGGGTTTCCATACTTGATCGAAACAACTATCTAGTGTTCCTTGGTTTCTACTGGTTGTTTCAGTTACTGTCAATCTGTAACATAAACTACTCAAAAAATTCTTCTATATTCCTGATATACAACTGAAGTAACTAGAAAAAACGGAATTTTTCTTTCTAAACGCTTGAATTAGTTAATTCTTTTTACAGTTATGTTCTAGTGGGTTACTGTTTCACTACAGAGTAAGGCTGAATTTTAAAAATATCAGTTGAAACACAATCTTATGGTAACGAATCAAATTGTTTTGACGTTACAATAACTGGTGAAACATTACGAGAATAGGAATTTCAAGATGAATGAAAGGTACTTACAGATAATTGAAAATCTGAGGAGGCTATTGAAAATTATTATTTTATTTATTTCAACACAGATATTGGTACAAAGAGGCACCAAATACATATGCGCCACACAAATCTCATTCGATATGTGTGAGGGCTGTGATACTGCACGGGTACCCAAACCGAAGCAGGTTGTTTTCTTAGGGGGCCACTCCCCGAGTCTTCGACCTGAAGGTTTGATCCACAAGGCAGTGGAGCATCGTAAGGAGATGCAGTCCCATGGAAGCCGGTGACCAACGATTGGTTCATACGCCATTTGTTCCCGCAGGATACTGGAGCCCATGTGCACCATTGGTTTGGAATCCGGTTAAAGCGCCGGACATTCGCTTTTCGTCCTCTCAATTTCGTAAACAACACCCCCGCCACGAGAAGGCAGTGAGTAGGACTTCCCTGGCAGAGGCTATATACGCGTGGCCATGTGAGAGCATTTGGAGAGGGAGAGCGGACTCTCTCCACTCTCGGCCGTACCAGGGCATTTGGGGGCTATTGAAGATGTAAATTTTGACTGACTTTTCCACATAGTTTGCCTTTTAACATTTTATGAACAAGCATTGTTGAGTGCTTTTCTTAGTTTACCGAACTTTTCACATTGATAACTACTTAAAATATGACATTTTTTCAACTTTTCTAATGTTATGAACTAGCGCATTGATTACTTTGCAAACGGTAATAATATCTTGGCGACGTTTTACAGAATCGTTCATCTACTTATAAGTACGTGATGGCCAGCTCTATATTCGATACCAGCATAACTGACCAAGTTTCTGAGAACTATCTAATAAAAACATAAATTGTAAACGAACTTTGGGGTTTTTTGTGACAGCACAAGCAGCAAACATGCATATAAACCATTATTATTATAGTGCCAATACTATTGTTAATTATCAGAATATACATTATTGTCTTTATTAACTTAGTTCCAATTTTTTCTCTTGACCTCGAAGGGTCCATCAAAAACTAAAAATAAGCTATTTAGTTAGACAGGTTTGTTTGGATTAGCTCAGACTATGCTATTTATTATGATGGGTGTCAAGTGATATAATAAGCGATTAGAACTAAAAGAATGTGAGTTGTCTTAAAGTTTCCAGGGGTGATATCTATCAAAAACCAATCAAATCAAATCAATGCCGCACATTATTATTGCCTATGGCATCGAACAAACAACTGAAAAAGAAACGGCAATATGAGGGAAGCTAACAAGTGGATTAAATGCATATTCCGATGGAAACAAAGATAATAGTCTCTGATGAACAGTTAAACTACACTGTAAATCCCATGCAGTTGTTTAAAGTTCATTAATTGTTGGTGTCGGATGTTGATAAATAATCTTAAAATACGAACATGGTGAAAAATATGATGAAACAAGATATTCATTGAAAGTTTTGACTAGGAATATGCCCCACATATTACTAATCAGTGTTCTATGGAAGCAGGCAAACTGAAGTGGCAACTGATCAGGTAAAGGGTATTACTCAAAGCTCTTTAACACAAGTTTTCATGATACTGTAGGCTTGTGAAAACCAGTAGCTTGAACTTAATGAAAAAGGTTTGAAGTAAATGTAATGTTTGTTCTGAAACAACCTTACCAGCTATCACATGTTTCTAGCCAATATATATGACCGCTACACAGCTGTACGAGAAATAACCCGATAAATTACAGGAGCAACTTCATTACCAAAGATCTAGAATCATATCCTACTCCAGTTATGTATACAGTCATGCTAAAGTTCATTTTTACTGATCAGCAATATTAGAACTCTAAAAATATTAGAATATTCCTACTTGAACTCTAATTTGACGCTTACTGTACATTAAGGTCAAGACCTATTACTTCTACAATCTATTCAGTCTACTTTAGGTTCCTGTTAAACAAACACTAGTTGAGTAGCTTCTCAGAGGTTTACCTCTTGAAATAGCACTTGGTGCTTTTTATTTAGTCATTTACCTTTACTCTGTACTAATCACATCATTATGAATCAAATTGAATCCTTATAAATTATTTCCAAAGATTCAGACGTCACCTATTATTAAGTTATGGTATGAGATTTCATATGCGCAATCTATAACATTCAGTGAGGTAAGGTATATATATATTACTGAGCGCATGAAATAATGAAATTTTTGGATGACATGCAGAAATATCGACAACTAACACGATTTTCACTAATACCGGGAAAATTATCACTCATTTGTTTAGTCAAGAAGACATAGATTACTTCTTGACAGAGTGATGGTAAACCACCTACCAAAAATAATATATTTAACTACAAAAAGAGATTATATTTGCGCTGAAGAACTTGCCTTTTGTTTACGTAAGAGTGGCATTAATCCAACACATTTAAATGTAGTCAGGAGTTTTGAATACAGATAGGAAATAAAAACTGTATAGATGAACTGAGAAAAAGATGAGTTTTGAATTACCGAGGTTTAAAAAACTAGTAAAAACCATTATTTGATTGAACTAATAGCAACAAATTAGGGAGCACAGTGAGAAATACAGAT